GTTCTCACATTCTCTCTCAACCCTCTCAAACCTTTCAAACCTTCTCAATTTTCACCAGACATAGAGACTCTATGTAATAGGATGGAAAACAATGTTGCAGTTACTGTGCTGGTCTCTGAATATTTCTTAATTCTTCCAATGTCTAACTGCTTTGTAATACATTGGAGAGAGTCTTTTTTTCTCCTTGGTACTTTTCAAAATCTAGCACAGTGTTAGGCATACAGTAACCACTCCATGAACCCATAGTACATCAACACTAACTGGAAAAGTCTCGTGGTCCGTATTCTGTTTCTAATTATCTACATGGTGTATAATCTGGAACCACATGCTCATAGGTGCTAATTGAGTAGCCTGGTTGAAACTGTAGCTACTCACTAAATCCCTAGTCAATCTTTTAATTTCTGTAATGCAAATCTGGGCCTTCATTTTTTTTCTTCATTTAACCTGGCTTGTTCAAGTCACTTTCATACTTGCTTCCAATAGAACCTTCCTGGGTATCCAGGAAGGACTGTAGAGGACTCTTACATTCTCAATGTCATCAGATTCAGAAGAGATTCTGAACGTTTCCAGTTTTGCCCTTTCTGGGGAACAATGGAAAAACAGATCCTTTGTGCTCAAGTGACTTGGCTATTGATATGTGTTAATCCATTTAGTATCACATTTTAAGGCCTTGTCTTGTTCCTGACAGTGTGTTAAGGGCAGAGTCTCCTATTTACTAGTTCCCAGCCATGGCCCTCATTTCAATCCATTACCTTGGACTATTGTTCCAATTTAGTACAGTGGTGCTTCTCCCCTTCTCCTGTTCCCTTTACTGAACATGCAGTGATGAAATCACATATTCAAGATGGGCATTGGTGGCGCACGCCTTTAATCCCAGCACTCAGGAGGCAGAGGCAGGCGGATCTTTGTGAGTTCGAGGCCAGCCTGGTCTCCAGAGCAAGTGCCAGGATAGGCCCCAAAGCTACACAGAGAAAAAAAAACAAAAGAAAGAAAGAAAGAAAGAAATCACATGTCTAAAACTTCTGCTGGACCCCACTTTCAGTGTCTACTCCCAATTTTATTTTATAATTATATCATTAAGTGGTGAAGACATTTTAACACTTTGATCATATGTAAGTTAAAGCTATTTGAAAAATCTTGTTTTGAGAAGTTTTTGAACATGTTGCACTAGTCATGATAAATAAGGAGCTTTTAGTATCACAGAGACAAATAGGCTTTGGAAACACACCTCTGACTGTGATTGAGTGTGTGGTGTTACAATGGCTCTGTTTGTGAATGACATCTCAATCAAGTCAGAATGGACATTTGTCACTCAGCAGCTGCTCTCATCTTGGACCTGTGCTGGAAGGAGATAAAACACAGCTCTGATTAGCCCAAGGCATAAAACTATATTCAGACATGTGGAGTCTATAAAATTTTTCAATGATTTTTAGTGAGGATAGTTACTGGACTAAAGATTATGGGCAAATGAACATTTTTGGTCAGAAACAACTTTTATGTAAGACGTAGGTTGATCCTTCAGCACTTGGTTCTGTTTGAAAGTGATGGATGAGGACTTGGGGAGGAGGTTGGATATATTTGATTCTTGTGGGCATTTTTTACCCTATGACAAAGCCATGGCTGTTGCTAGAGATGATGTCTGGATTTGCAAGAGGCCAAATCTGGGGTGTAGAGAATAGGGTGAATTGTTCACATGTCTAGAAATCAGTTATAGGCAACTGTGGATGGCAACAAGATGGTTGGGATTTCTGTCTCATCCTTTTCCCATTTTACTAGTGCCAAGATCTGACCCATGACAGCATTGAAAAGTTATTTGTCAATAGATGTAAACAGACATCCTCAAAAGGAGGCAAAGGTGACCAAAAAGTTTGTGAAAAAGGCTCAACATCGTTAGTAATCAGAGATCAAAACTGTAGTGACATATCTATTCCAGCAAGAATGATTATTCTAAAAAAGACAAGAGATAATAAGTTTTAGCCAAGACACAGAGATAAGGAAACTTTTGCATACATATAGTGAGAATGTAAATTAGTATAGCCTTGAAGAATGGTATGGAAGATCTTAAAATTTTTATAGGGGAATTACTATATGATCTAGTAACTTGTTAGGTATAGATCCAAAGAAGTTAAGTTAACATGTCAAAGAGACATCTACACTTAGTCACAATAGCCAAGAATTGGAAACAACCTAACTGCCCATTGACTGACAAATGAGTACAGAGAATGTGGTTCATTTACACAATAAAATACTATATCACTTTATGAAGAATGAAGTCCTGCCATTTGCAGCAACACAAATAGATCTGGAGATCATTAGCTTCACTAAAAGAATCCAGATAGAGAAAGAGAAGTGCTGCATAATTGCACTTATATGTGGAATCTAAAGAAAATAGGGGGTCTTAGAAACTGAATGTAGAATGGTGGGTTTCCTAAGCTCCTAAGAGCAGAGGTAAGGAGGGATGGGAAAATCCACCAATGGCTACGACACTCAGATAGGAACAATAAGTTATGGTGTTCTAGATTTAAAAATCATTCTTATTATTTCTCTCTCTCTCTCTCTCTCTCTCTCTCTCTCTCTCTGTGTGTGTGTGTGTGTGTGTGTGTGTGTGTGTGTGGATGAATGTGTATCACATGTGTGCAGTTTCCTCAGAGGCCAGAAGAGAAAGTAGATATACACATGTAGAGCAATTAAACTAGATTGATACCTTTCAATTTGTACAAAACCAATTTAAACTGTATCAAAGACACAAAAGTCTGAAACTATTAGAGGCAAAGAGTCCTTCACCTAGATGAAGAGCTATGGGTAGTTAGCTGTCCTAGAACTCATGTTGTAGACCAGGTTGGCCTTGAACTCACAGAGATCCATTTGCCTCTGCCTTCAGAGTGTCAGGATTAAAGGTGTGCACCACCACTGCCCAGCTATAGACCACATATTTTGACCATATGAATTCCCTCATACCTTCTCTTTTCTTTGCTTCTCCCTTTCTTGTCCGTGTGTGTGTGTGTGTGTGTGTGTGTGTGTGTGTGTGTGTGTATGCATGTATGTATGTATATGCACATACATATAAATATCCATATATAGGATCCACAAATGGGAGAAATACACAAGGCTTGTCTTTCTGAGCCTGGTTTATTTTACTTAATATGATGATTACCTTCAATTGCATCCATTTTCCAGCAGACAAGATGATTTCACTCTTCATTGTGACTGATTAAATCCCATTGTGTATATAGGCCACATTGTTTATTCATTTGTTGATAAACGGTGCTCCAATAGGCATGGATTTGCAAGTGTCTGTGTGGTGTTTTTGCTTACAACCCTTTGGGTATATCCCCAGAAGGGATACAGCTTGGTCATATGGTATATATCCATTTTTGGATTTTTGGAGGAACCTTCATACTGATTTCCAAAGTGAGCAGGCAAATTCCCATTCCCAACAGTAGTATATAAATGCTGTTTTTCTCCCACTTCCTTACCAGAATGTGTTCTCATTTTTCTTTTCTTACTTAATTAAAATGTAGTTACATCATTTCTCCCCTTCTACTTGTCTCCCATGCATTCCATGCCTCCAACTCCCTCTCAAATTCACGACCTCTGTTTTTCTATTGTTGATACATATTGATACATATGTGCAAATAAATATATAAATATTGCCATTGAAGTCCATTTCGTGTTGCATATATGCATATGGTGGTGATGCACACCTTTAGTCCTGACATTCCGAAGGCAGAGGCAAATGGATCTCTGTGAGTTCAAGGCCAGCCTGGTCTACAACATGAGTTCCAGGACAGCTAGGGCTGTTATACAGAGAAATCCTGCGTTGAAAGACCTAAATAAATAAATGGTCTTCTTGGAAGAAAAGTTAAACTGTCATTTATTGAGGCATCATGTTGTTGCTATAACCTCTACTTATGTATTTATTTCTAGGGGAAATAATCAGAATCTTTGGTATTATGGGGTGGGTTAGATAAATAGGTCCCTGAGCCTTGATTTCATTTGACCTAAGAAGAGTATATTAAGATGACTTGAATGTGGACAAAGGATTTAGAAGCTTTGATATCAGGTGACTGGAAGAAAAGCTTAGACATCTCAGAAAATCTAATTTCAGACTTCCCCTCCCCCCTTAGTACCTCTCGGTCCTTTTGCTCACCTCCTCTTCCTGAGGACAGAAGGCACAAGAATACCCTGTGTGGCCCAGGTCATTAGATTCAGCTTTTATTTGGTTGCTCTGAATCCCACCTTCCTGTTTTGATCACTCCTCCCCTCACCCATACTTCAGAAACCAATCAAAGTGTCTCCTGACCACATTTATTCTCTTTGTTTCAACTGCTTCCTCTAGTAACTTTTTCCATATGGTTATATTTTTGTCTCACGAAAGAGGTTTTTTGTTTTGTTTTGTTTTTCATCTATCAAAGATGGCCCAATTCGGGTCTTAGGAAAACTTGTTTACTTAAATGTGTGACATACTGCTTCTAAAGATGCCAAACCCCTTCTTTCCATTATGTTGGTGATCTGGGAATAGAGGGGGTGGAGGGAATATTTCTATGTTTAAAACTAACTGAGTGATGGGCAGTGATGCTGAGTGCCAGGGACTGAGAGGACACAATGCTGGCAGTGACAAAAGTCCAGTCAAGACCTAGAGGTGGATTCTGTGTTTGTGATTTTTATTTAATGTGCATTTATTTTGTCACTCTAATTTGGCCTCATTCCCTTCAACATGGTGACATTGGTACTCTTTATTTTGCCTGTTGCAGACCAATTTTCTTCAGCTGTTTCTAAAACTTACTAAAATGCCAGATGTCACATTGGAAACCTGAAACCTGAAAGAAGGTCGTAAATCACAAAAACAAACCATAAAATAAATAATAAAATTCCCCGAGTGCTGTGCTCTGGAGCTTCCCAGCTTCAAGTCTCCTTTTGTTCACTCCTCTCCCAAACCCAACATGTTTCCCAACCCCCTTCTTTTACAGCTAGGCATGGCAGCAACTGGGCAGCTTCTCACTTAGGCCTTGACTTTTCACTTTTCAGATTCTGAGCAGAGCACTGGGTCGGACTCCGAGGTGCTCACTGAGCGGACCTCCTGCTCCTTCAGCACTCACACTGACCTGGCTTCTGGTGGTGCAGGCCCAGTGCCTGCTGCCATGTCTACCATGGAGGAGATTCAGGTAGAGTTACAATGTGCTGATCTCTGGAAGAGGTTCCATGATATTGGAACGGAGATGATCATCACCAAAGCAGGCAGGTAAGGATGTTTCAATGAGTGACCAAATTCAAAGGCACTGCAGAAATGAGCCCCGTTATTCCCATCCCCACGTAACCATGGCAGAATCAGCAAAGCTCAAACATCTTGCACTTTCTTTTCTGCACTTGGATTTGCTAATATGGTCTTGCTGTGTCTGCTATTATTTTGCTCTTTTCCTTTAAGCATTCAAATCTAGCATCACCTCTACTCTCACAAACAACATTTCCCATCTTCAAAATGCTTCTTCATCTAATTTTGATACATAATAGAGAAAAAATTAGGTCCAAAGTAAGTACTTACTCCCCCATGCAATATTTTCAAGAAACCTTTCCTAAAAACAGTTTACATCTTTGAAGACTAAAGTAATCATGTGCCTTTGTAAGAATGAGGTTTGGTGTACCTGTTGAGCCAAGCTTATTGATTCATAGTGTTTTGTTGTTGGCTTGAAATTATTATATAAACTTCAGGATGATTAGGAGAGTCTTTTGTGAAAGTAGCTACCCAAGATAATAAAAGTTTGGCAAACCACAGTTTTTCTTAAAAACGTCACCTTTTGTTAAACTATGACTTTACTAGTACCCTGAAGTTTTCCATAGCTACGTATCTATTTTGTACTGAACACTGAACAAATACATAACACTTGAACTTCACAAGAATTCTACAAAGGAAGATATGACTGTTCCATGTGGACACAAAGGAAGGAAGACTGAAAAAGGCTAGTCAGCTGGATGAAGGCAAGGGCTATTGAGTAGTAGCTTCAAAATTCATGCATCTGGGTGGCTCTAAAATAATAATCATAATTATTTATTAATTATTCCCGTTAATAGTTGTAGTTCTTGTCTGGCTCAAAATGAAAATGATTTAGATAAAACTGAATTTAGATTAAGCCTTTAAGTATATAGGAATAGCTACTGAAATTAATCATGAGTATACTATTTGGTTTTCTCAAAGCATGTCTGTATCTATATATTACATAGATATGTGCATAATGATAATGAAAAGTCTCCACCCACCTCATTGTTTGCACACTATTTTTCATGGAAATACGCATGTTTGGTTTATCTCCATGGATGTAGGGAAACCAAAAATTCAATAAGAAATCTAAAAACCATGAATTAAATGAACCTGAATTCCTGCTTGTTTTGTTTTTCTCCTGGTACTCTTATTGCACAGTAACCTTTAATAGTGATGAAAGGCTTATTGTATTGATCAACTTTGAAGGAGAATTATCTTCAGTCTCACCTCATTACTTGGATTTTAGTGTTCTCCTCTACTTTTTATGGTGTTGAAAATGGGAGGAAAACAAAGAAATTTTCCTTTGATAGGGAGGTTGAACATAAAGAGCAAAATATTAAAATTCCTTTTTGTCTAGAATATTTATTTGGCTTGTGTTTTCACATTTGTTGTTGTTGGGTCTATGTTTGCCATGCAGTCTTGTTTCTGATGCCACCCTCACTCTACCCACTTTGGAGCTCAGTTCATTGGGGAACCTCCAGCCACTCAGTGTTTAATTTCAGGCTTCTGCACATAGGCTTTCATGTAGACCTCATGATTCTTGGCAATACCAACATACTCCCTAGCAGTTTCCTCCTTAGTCATATTGAAGTTCTGTTTTTCTTAGGTAGGTAGGTAGGTAGGATTATACGTCTTATTACAACTAGGGAAATATTACTCTCCATTCATATTTTCCTACAGAACAAACTGTCCTCCTGTTGATTTGTAATAATTTCTTGTACAGAGCCCTCAATTTGGGGAACACCAACCAATCAGTGCAATCAGCACCATGGACAGAGTTGCTTGTTGGGATTAATGGATTTAGAAGACAGAGAATTGATCCAAATTTAACCATAACATTAAAACCAAACGCAACTCACTTTATGAGATATGAGAGACAATTCCTTTTTAAAATTATGTTATGACTGATCTTGGTATAAAGTATTAAGATACTAACACAGAGAACAGGTAGTATCTGCAGAGTTCAGAAAATTCAGGCAGAATTTTAAAGCAGGTAGGCAGTCCAGTGCTAATCTACTGCTTTTGCTTTGTCTTATAGATAGATGATAGCAATGAGATGATTTACCCAAAGCAATTCTAGAATTTGAATGCTTAGGATTATATAACTGTCTCAAAGAAAATATCAAATTAAAAATATCTAGTGCTCTTTCTTTGAAGTTCATAAGGCAAAAATAAATCTATTTCTTTCAGTGTAGCACGGCCTTTGTAGGTGGCCAAGGAGAGGCACATCTTCTAGCCTTCATTAGTAAGCTTTCTTTCTGTCTCTCACCAGATGCCTCCTAGTAATTAAAACATAGAGAAGAATAATAATTCTTGCTGTTAAGAAGGCAATTACTGGTCTGTGTTTAAAGGTATAGACCAAGATGCTCAGGTGTTTGAAAGAACTAGTGTAGATCAAAGTGTGTAGCTCATAGTGAATGTTATTGAGTGTAATCACTCATCACATTTTATTGGTAAGACTAAAATTCAAGGCCTCCTCATTAAAGTGGTGAGGATGGGAAGAAAAAATATGAAATGACTGGAGGATAATCAGGTGTGAGGGAGGAACGGCTATGCATTTGGTACAAGTATTTCAGAATTCACCACCATCCTTATCAAAGATCTCATTCCTCCCAAATGCGAATCTCATGGCACAGACTTGCTGCCAGAAAGACATTTGCTTTATGGGTTACTTTTCCTGGATGAGGATTGAATGTGAGACTTGTATATAAAGCCTTGGACACATTTGCAATATGGCTGTCTGAGGTCAGGGCATGGTCTATGGCCGTGAAATGGAGCAAAGCCAATTAGGCCATATGTGGATCAAGCTTGTGACCTTGACCTCATTAGCACTGTGGTCGGCTCAGCTCGATTAACTAGCCCCAGATGGCTAAGCTTAATGTAGTATTTTGTGTACAAGTACCCTAGAGCACACTCAGGGCAATCTAAATATTTGAGCTGAGCACTTTTTAATGTCTGGTTTGATGCAAATTAGCTTGGTGTCTTTCCTTTCTTCTTGGAGTTTTTGAGGAGAATGGCAAACTTTATTCTAGACTTGTTGAAATCCAATATGTCTTTTGAGCTGTGCCCTCTCCTCCCTTCAGTTATGAGAGAAGCTGTAAAGTGCCACATCCCGACCTCACTTGTTTTGGCAAATTTAACAAGCCATTGTGGTGGAAGCAAGGTATTGCCCAGAGGCCACTAGACCTCATTTGGTATTTGCTCTTTATTCCACAGGGTCTTTCCTCTGACACACACGTTGACAGCCTGAGAAATTGCAGAAATTTTTGTTCAGTTTTATGCACTGAAAAAAAACTTTAGTGGCTCTTTGTTTGGAGACTAGCAGCAATTCATTTTGTTTTGTTATTTTCTTGGGAAATTAATTTTCAAAAAACTCCATAAAATATTTTATATATATATATATATTTGAGTGTAGGAATCATGAGGTATTTTAATTTAAGCTAAATACAGATGCAGTTTTAAAAATATTAACCTTCATTTTCATTTGTAGTAATCATTTACAGTGAAATAGTAATTAGCCAACTCAGGGAATTAGTGGATATTGGATTTTCATGTGCCTAAAATACCCAATGAGAAGACACTCTAAGCTTGTATTCCAGTTTATCTCCCTCCTTTTCTGAGTTTACAACTTCCTGTTCATCTTCACAGGAGGATGTTTCCTGCCATGAGAGTGAAAATCACTGGCCTAGATCCACACCAGCAATACTACATAGCAATGGACATTGTGCCAGTGGACAATAAAAGATACAGGTAAGGATTCTGGTAGAATCTGGAGTTGTAGACATCTTCAGTATCCCAAGGCAGTTCTTTAAACTTGGTAGGTGGATAAGGACAGAGGATATACCAGCAGTCTGTGCGGTGGAGTGCCAGTCAGGAAACAATAACTAAAGATAGGAAACCAGAGCTTACTAAGCATGTTTTCAAATACTCCCCACGTCTCTGGATAGAATAGGATTTTGTAACATTCCCTACAGGAGCAAATATTAAGTGGCTCTTTCTTGAATCTGAAATTAACTGAGGTAATGTTAAAATGATGAACATATTGTGAGAATGCAAAATGAGTTGGAATTTAGGGGTTTTTTTTTGAGAAGGAAGTAGACAAGTGAAATATATTCAATTGCACATCTAACATGCAACACTTGAAAGTATGGAGAAGAACAAATTGAAGAATTGGAAAGAATGGACAAAGAGAGAGTCTTATTAGGGAGACAACTATCCTTAATATGGATGTGAGTTTGTTTGATAAATAACTTTATCTTAGACTTATCTCAATGTATTCTCCACATCTCTTTGATGATATATATATATATATATATATAGTTACTATAAAGGTAATCATGGCTTCCTTAGTGTTTTGAGATCACAGTAATATCAGTGGTGCATTTTTAAAATGTCCAATGTATTAGAACTTGGTTCTAAGCCTCTGAATTTGGAGGTCAGATATGGATGAGGAAGCCAGGACCCTAATAACATGAAGAGAGAGATGGCCAAGAGAGGCATGGCCTTTAGTGCAGGGGTTAGGAGAAAAATGCTTCCAGTAAGTTAAAGAGAATCTTGCAAGCTATAATTCAGGCAGAGTGCTTCTGTTTGCCAGAGTTCTGGGCCCATGTAGTCCTTTAGAACCAAAACAGAAGGAGGTGCCATATATATGGGATGGGTTTTGAGGATCACAGGAAAATTGGTGAGCTCAGGAAAATAGACTTTCTTTCTTACCATCAATATCTCAGGCACAGAGGCATTATGGAAAAATGATGTGAACAATGAAAAATTTCCAAACAAAGTTCATGAAAGCAAACACTAGGGATATTTGCTGGTGATTCTGGGAGTGGTTACACTAATGCAAGAAGCCCCCCATTCTGGCAGAAATACCTCACAGAATTCAGACAGCTAGCAAGTAAATGGTTAATAAGCAGAAGCTTGGAGGGTCTCTGCACATGGTTGCTTTTTATACGACAATATGGAAGATGTTTTTAATAAGGAACAAAATCCTGAACAAGTGGCTAAAGATTATATGGTTTGCATTTGAAAGGTGAAAGGTTGCAGTAAAATACCTTCTCTTTAGCTAGACACATGGATTCAGGATGTCTGTGTGCACACAGGGGTGCATGGCGCAGAGAGGGAGGAGAAAGAAAAGGGATGCTGAGAATGTTTTCCTCCTGAGAGCTGTGGCTTTGATCATTAACCACAACAGTTCCCTGTCATCCCCTATCCCATCTTATTGTCCATTGCCATCTCATTTTCATTTTTCCTGATTATCCACATTTCTGCTTTTCTCATTTATGAATATCCCATTGATAGTCACAAATGAATATCATGTCGTCTCATTTATGAATATCATGCCGTTCCCATTATTTTTCCATTCTTGTTATCGCTTCATCTTTTCTTGTTCTTTTATTTGTTTCTCGGGCCTCCATTCTTCCCTGCGTCTGTCTCTAAATTCTCCTCTCTCCTTCTGTGTCTCAGATATGTGTATCATAGCTCCAAGTGGATGGTGGCTGGCAATGCTGACTCCCCTGTGCCTCCAAGGGTTTATATACACCCGGATTCCCTAGCTTCTGGAGACACCTGGATGAGGCAGGTGGTTAGTTTCGACAAACTCAAGCTGACCAACAACGAACTGGATGATCAAGGACATGTGAGTTAAAGAACTCCATTTACTCCCTCCTCCCTCTTTCCCCTTTTGCTTTAGAGTTGATTGGCCCCAGGCCCTTTCAAGAGGTAAAACAAGAATTTTAAGTAACCAAGAATGAACTTTTTTCTCTGCTTAAAATTTATTTATTTATTTATTTATTTATTTTTTCACAAATCTAACATTTAGCAAACATCTGCTACGCATCAGCTTGTATTTATCAGACAAAGTCCTTTTTGCTCCAGGGACTCACAATCTACTCAAAGAGGCAAGACAGAAACACAGGGCAGATTAAACACTGACAAAAGAACCCATAATGTTCAATAGAATAACTCACAAGACAGTAAGTACCTAAGAGAAACAAATGAATGAGCATTTTGGCTAATTGGTAGAGAAAGTAGTGAATTTACAAAAGAATTTTTTAGCTTTGCTGGTATAATCAGAACAACTGATGTTAGTAATTTATCTCTGGCAATAAAAGATGTGCTGAATTTTCAGTCAGTGACAATATCATTCCTGATTGCTATGGCTATTTTCTTCAAGGAAACAGCAGTTTTCTGAGGTGGTAAGGTCACAGATATGCGGCTTAAACTTCTGTGACATCAAGTAAAGCATGAACAAATTCAGTGAGTGCAAATAACTATGTGTAGAATTTAAAGGCAACATGAACACTTGCTGAAAGATGAAGGTGGAGGGAAAACTGTGACACACAGCACAGGTTGAGAAGTGTTAGTGGAGTGTTGTCTTAACACAAGAATGGGTGGCCAGCCTTTTTCCAGCTAAACAAATCAACCATATCTACCATCCATGAAGAGTAGACCCCATTATATGTGTCCAGGTAATGCTATCCAGAGGCTCAGTTCTCAGCATGAGTGAATGCACTGATTTCTAGGACCATGGGCATCCCTTATTCTGCCCTTCTCCCACAATTCGTCCATTTTGTGACTTATTTTGCATGTGAGTTTGAAAAGATTCAGGAACCTCAAAGTCACACCTAGCATAAAGTTTTCTCTCCCTGTTTCAGATCATTCTGCACTCTATGCATAAATACCAGCCTCGAGTCCATGTGATCCGCAAAGACTTCAGCAGCGATCTTTCACCCACCAAACCTGTGCCCATAGGGGATGGGGTGAAAACATTCAACTTTCCTGAGACTGTGTTCACCACAGTCACAGCCTATCAGAACCAGCAGGTAAGAGGCCACTGTGGAGAGCCTGCTGCCTCTCAGCTTTCAAAGAACCTTTGTCTTGCTATTGGTGAGGGATGCTTCGTTCTTTTCAATGACACAGAAAAGTTCAAACAAGAGACAGCAGTCTTGCAACATACCTGAAACACTGATGATGCCAGTGTGGTGATGCCCAGTGACATCTGGCATTGTCTACATTTAGCTCAGAAACAGCTCCTTCATCATGAGCACCATGTTCCTATTTGTCTTCATGTCTGTGTTCAGGGTCTTTGCCACATCCTGGCAGACCTCACTGTTCAGGATTGAGTCTCTGAAGATTTCTGTGTGCATCTCTTTTCCGTGTGACCCCAAAGCCATTAGGGGATCTGTAGCATTTTGTTTCTGGCATACATGTTCATTATTAAGTGAGTATTGAGAAGTTACTAGGTTCTAGTCTTTGTAGAGAAATAGATCTGGTTAGTGGAGTAATTAGAATGACTGTTCTCCTTACTGAGAGCTTTAGTTAAGTGAAAAACATGTAAATGCATACTGGTAACACAGTGATGTAATTCAACAACAAACATGGAGCTAGAGAATTTCTTGATTTGCTGAATAAGGATGTTTTCCTGCAAGTGCTGATTCATTTTCTGAGATAGTCACATGCATTGAAACCAGCCAGACTCAACCTAGAAGTTGTGTGAATAGGAGAAAGGTAGTGCAGGGCATTACTGTCATAGTCTAAACATTACAGGTTTTTTGAAGAGGGTAGCTAGATGGATTTATAAGTAATCTTACTTTATGAGGTTCCCTAAAAATACGTAATCAAACCCATTTTATGTTCTATCTTCTATTTGTCATATTGTCTAATTAGTAGAATACTTGCAGTGAATGATTCCTTTGTCAAAACAAGGAGATTTCAGTTCATTAAGCCCATACATTAGCACCCTTTCATTTGGATCGACTGGAAGCAAAATGAACTTATAATATTATTACATTTGATGCATTTTGAACCAGATGCTCTATTCTGTGCTGAAAGCAATTGAAGGAAACATTTGACACTCATCAAGTACTTTCTCTCTACTAGCTAGGTGATGGTAGTGGGTTTTTATAATCTATATATCACATGAAAAGAATCTCTCTCTCTCTCTCTCTCTCTCTCTCTCTCTCTCTCTGTCTATTTGGGTAACATTCCTTAGAAGTTCTTTATTTCCTGAGGAGATTTAAGCATATGATTGTCAGGCCTTTCAGCATGTATAAAGTGCTTCTAAGTTCAGATTTTCTTTATGGATGCCATGTTTTATCTAAGGTAGAAGAAAACATGAATATATTTTGGGTGATATTTAAGTTACTAAGTCCTCCCAAGCTTCTTCATAGTAAGGTTGCAGAGGTTTGAGTGGGACAGTACAGAAATCTTCAGTAAAGTTTTCAAATTTTGATACAAGATATAGCAACAATAAGCACTTTGAACAACTGGCCTTTGAACAACTGGAACCTGAGGTTCACTGTTTGAGAAGAGAGGGAGTAGGAGGCCAGCTACTGTTTTAATTAGTAGTTTTCTTTTAAGGCAGTGCTGTGGTAATTAGCATTGAACTTCAAGACATGCATGGTAGAAAAACACAAAATGAACATAGTACTATTTCATCCAGGTTGATTTTACAGGCTACAAGAGCCATTATTGTAACCCACCTGGAAGCCAGAGCTTCAGTTTACTTTGATAATGAAGGGGGATTCAACACAGGTACCTGATGTCTCTTTCCATTACTTCATTTCCTCTCATAGAAGTGTCCACTGTCAGAGTACATTTCATTCAGATATATATTTTGTTTGTAGGTTGGTTGGGGTGGGACAAGTGCCATGGTTAAGAGTGTGAGATTCCATAGCAAGTTTGAGTCTGACTGAAACATTGACAAATTGTGTGACCTTGAATAGGTTTCTTGACTCCTTTCAACTTGTGCCTCCTATGTCCACAAATATGCCTACATCCTGGAATTATGTGGGGTAGATAAAGGGTATATATGAATCAGCCAATACTGCCATATGTCTGGGATAGAAAGACACAGAGAAAAGCAGGGGATAGAGGCAAGTTTTAAGAATAAATTATTCATTAGGGAAAAGTAGATGGTTGGGAATTGAACAAGGTGCATTGGCTCATGAAGGGATTATGGTAAATAAGTTACTACCTTGATCTCTGTCTTCATGAAAAGTTGATGAATTCATGATGTGATGATGTACAAAATAGATGGGTCATACTCGGTTCTGCTTGTTTTGAGATCAAGGCAACAGCTTTTGCCTATTTAACAAGTCCCTAGTCACTGCATAAATCAACCAGCATGAATGTTTAATACTCCCTTTGGCTGTGTAGATGTGATTTAATATAATACAGTGCCTTCTAATAAAACACAGCAACCTCAGGTCTTTCCCATTGGGCATCATGAAGTTTGTATCCTACAGCCCAGGACTTGCAACATAACAGTGATTTTCAGACTTCTGAAGATTCTGGAGAGAAGAAATTGTTTTTTGTAAGATACATTTTCTCATTACTGTGCTGTTATTAGCCTCTATGTTCCAGAATGAGAACAATCAATATTTTCTGATGAAGTTGTTCATTGTCTATCTTCTAAAGGAAATGGTTAGGAGGCCTGTGTAGGGTGAGCCAGTGGTAGGTCTACAGTGTTCTTAAGAAGATGTCTGGAGCAACACAGTAAAGGAAGCCCAGCAGAAGGAGTGGAGCCCAGCTTAAGTATCAGCAGGTCTTTCTAGTGAAGAGCTCTGTCCTGTCACACAGACAGCAACAGACCAGACATTTGGTGGGCTGGGTCAGAGTCCTATATCTCCATGAGCATCACTCCAAGAAAGTAACTTTCTCTCTCTGGACTTCAGTTTCTTCTAGAAAATGGGTTGCCTTATGCTTTCCAAAGATGGTTGATAGATGGGTAATTATAATTCCCCCCACACCAATGAGTATTGAGAGCAATGCCCTGTCATCAACCTAAGGCAACCTAACATTCCCATGTTTACAACATTTTAAAAGATTCCTGTAATATTCTACATCATGTTTTTAGCAGGTCCACTCTTGAGAAGTAGGAACTTTGCATTTTGCTGTTGACAAAAAACAAAACAAAAATCCTTTATGTTCTTCAGTTCACCAAAGTCCTTCGTGACTTATTTTAGTCTCTCAAGCTCAACATCAGAATCTCCTTGCAAATCTTCCTTTTGACTCTATTTCGTCTATGGATGTATTTTCTTCTTTCTAATCTCATTGCTTTGCCCTTGTTCTGCCCTGCCCTTCTTGCACTTTGGCTCTGAAAGATAGTTTGTTACTGCGTTTCTTAGATCTCAATCCAAATATCTCCCCAATTGTCTCACAACATCTCTAGAAGGATCTTGACAAAACACATTTATATGTTCACCATTTGTCTGCCACTGATGCCTCAGGGCCTGAGCAACAACGTTCAGGATCTCAAGTCTCTCCATTAAAACCCTTTCTGTCTTAATCGCTGGCTTCATTTTTAGGCTCATTTCCTGTGATTCCCATGACATACTTGTAAGAGTGCAGGGATCTAGCTGAAGTTTTATTGACGAACTGGTACTGCCTTTCTATTACAGGTAGTTTTCCAACATTGTCCCTCTCCTTCTTTCTTTTCTGTCTGTGTTCCTTCTACCTTTGAAGTTAGGTGAAAATACTAACATCTACCTATAGCCTTCTTTCCTGGTTGCAAATGAGCTCTTCCTTCATAGTCTTCCTGGGCCACTGTACCTCTTTCACGACACTCATCAAATTAGAACCATAGTCTATCTATCTAACCTTTCTCCAACTTGAGGGTGCTTTCTTTTGGGAACAATTAAACATTGTCCTATGATATGGTAGAAAATGCCTATTGGAAGTTCAGAAGCATGAGTTCTGGACTCTGCCACTAGTGGACCACACTGCTTTGGAAATCACTGTTCTGCAGTGATCTACTTTGCAAATTGATAGCTGAGTCTGAATCTGGGTCAGTGTTTGTGGAGAAGCATTTTGTAGTACACTGAGAAATACAACTACAAATACCCACGTTCTTTTATTTTGGCCTGTCTACTTTTTGATACAAAATGTTATTTATTTTATGAAATAATGATACATGTAGACTAGATAGGTGCTAATTTTCTCAGTTGATAGAATAAAAATTGGGACATAAATGTTGATTCCTCAAATGTTGGAGAAGGGATTAGACAAGCTTGTAAAATTCTAAAGTCTAGAAGCCATGAGTTAAGATGAAGCATGCTTCCATAATTTTAAAATATTTACATCTGTTTGGTGGCATGGCATTTGGCATGTGTTTTACAAGTGACCACATCCCTGACAGAATTAGCCATCATGACTTTGATATTGGTTTCCTTATATATCCATAGGCTTGCTTCTTTGGCTGTGAAATGTGAATTTAATATTTTTATTTTCATGGAATATTTTATTCATTTCACTCCCCTTTCCATTTCTTCCTCACATTTGTCTTCCCAGCCTATCAGACCCTCAGAGTTCCTAACACACTGAAGTTATTGCTAATATTTCCTCTCAGAATGCCAATTTGGCAGGTTTGTGAAAGAGATTGGTACACTATGCCCAGAATCTCATCATGGAGAGTAGGTTGGTAGACTGGGAATAAAGGTGATACAATATTCTATCCATTTTCTGGGAATATATTCATGTCAGCATGTCCTTATGGAATTAGCAAGAAATTTACACTGTGGTCTTTGTCTTCTCTGAGGAAAAAGACTGCTGGACTTTTATCTTTTTTTTCCAAGCAGGAAACTAGATTCCAAAAAGACATGGCCATGCTCTCCCTAGGTAACAGTCTTATTCTGGGTAAGAATTGGCTATTTGAAGCAGAGAGGATGTCAGAAACCACTGCCAGATTTGTGGGAGCAAATCCAGCAGTATTCCAAGCCACTTCTTATGTCCTACACTGCCCAGCCAGTTTCCCTCTACTTTGCAATTAGACTAATGCAGATTTTTTTTTGTTGTTTTACTTTGAACACAACTTCATGGGAAGCTACCTATAGACCTTATCCTAGCTGGAAAGATACTTATGATCTTTGTCTGTGATGCGGAAGTGAACACAGAACTGGGAGTTGAGGGAGGGCTTGGTGAAGAATCACTTAATTTTGACATTGCTTTGGGTTTGATGAACCATCCTACATAGCCACCCATGCATTCATCCTTCAGTAACAAAAATCCATTGGGTGCCAAATGCATGCCATTCTAGGCTCTACTTAATAGGACAGTAGTTAAAATGGGCATGGACCTTATTTGTCACACAGGGGAAGAGACAGTAAATATGTAAATAAGCAGCAAACATATGGTTAATCCAAACAGTTGGATTAAGTGGAAAGATGCATTGAAGACTGTACAGTTGAAGAGACCAGCAGAGGTGGTCATCGGAGTTGTCTTCTGAGCCCAGAGTGTTATATTTAGCATAAATTCAGCTCTGTGTAAGGTAGAGTAAAGGAGTAGAGCACTGTGTAAGGCCTCTCAGGGGAAGGGCTTGGAACATTGCAGCATGGACTGCAGTTCAGTTTGGCTGGAGCCAGTAGACAAGGGTAGAGGAATGTGCTAGTGTTGGAGCATAGGCTGGAGCCAGAGCCTGCTGGCTATGCAAGGCTGGTCAAGGAGGATGAATTCTTTTTTTTTTTTCTTAATTTTTATTAGTTCAAATTAGGAACAAGCTTGCTTCACATGTCAGTCCCCTCCCCAAAGTCCACTACATGATCCTGGGCTGGGCCTAGGCCCTCCCCCATGTGTCCAGGCCAAGAGTGCATCCCTTCACGTGGGTTGGGCTCTTAAAGCCCATTCCCACACCAGGGAAAAATACTAATCCACTACCAGGGGCCCCCTAGAGTGTAGAGGCCTCCTCATTGACATCCATGTTCAGGGGTCTGGATAGGAGGCTGAATCCTGTACAGGTGTAGTCATTGGGAAAACCAGCACGCTGTAGGAATGTGCAAATGCAGATCAGTCAGGCTGCTGTTTTGACTGGATAGGAAGTAGAAGGAAGGAGGTCAGTCTGAGACCATTTAGAGTAGTTTAGTTAAGAATATAGCTGGCCTGTGGCAGGGGGGGGGGGAGAAGACGAAATTGAATCTCACTGGTAAAACATAATATGACACTGAGTTGGAAATCATTGAAATATTCTCTCATCCCCCTCTGCATAACACACACACACACACACACACACACACACATGTGTATTCCCTAAAAGGTCCTTGCCTGTAATGGAGTAGGGTAGGGGAATGCAAACTTTTACATTTCTACATTTCTGTTTTAAGTTTATATCTCTTAGTATAACTTGATTTGATTTGGATGCCCATGTAAGTTTCCTCTTCCTGCAGTAGACTTCTGGCCTCCGGTTGCATGGTGCACAAACAGGGTGAAAGTGAGAGGTTTACAAGTCCTCATGACTGCTTGTGGGTTCCTATATTGTCTCTGGGCTCATTAAAGTGCTGTGAAGCAGCTGCTTGGCCCCTGGGTCTGTTGCTGGGTCCCTGGCTGATATATTATGAGAAAAATGCTGAAGTGAGACACTATTTTCTTGCCTCTTGGTCTCCTTCTTGTCCAGCTTTCCACCAGGACTCATTCAAGTCCTCTGTTTAGCATCTGTAGCAAGTCTGTGTCATTGTTAGCCACCTCCACATATATACATGTAGTGTCACCTTGTCAGCCTCTCTGAGTCTCCCCACCATACTGCCCCTCCCCCAGGTTTCAATCTGAATGGGAAAACAGACACAGACAATCCAACTGTTTACTTACCCTTTGCCTTTATCGGGGAAGGAGAAAGGGTTCTCAACTTCTACTTGAAGAGCATTCTTCCTCTACTCATCCTTGTCCTCCAGAGGACAGCAATCCTCATGGCCAGTTTTAAAAATGAAATTGTACATGTTCTTCAAGGCCTTGGCTCTTCTACTACCTGTAAGGTGAAGACGTGGAGTCTTTCAACTTGCTGATTCCTCAGAATTTTCAGGCTAATTTGCTTTTGTTGTGGGTCTAATTCTGATCTGTTTCATGTGTTACTACTGTGCATGTCTGCCCTTTGTTCTTCTAGATTATAAGCTTCTCAAGAGCAAAGAGGCAACACAGCCATATGGTGACTACTCACCAAACTGTCACCGGTGTCACCTGTCACCTTTTGCACACAAAAGATATTTGATAAATAACGACCGTCAAAACCACACTCTTCATAAATCTCTCTAAACCTCTCATTAAAATTGTTGGAGCAAGTACAGGAGTGCTATTTTCCCAACATCTTTGGCCGCTTTCTATTAAATTTCCATACAGATCCCTTGGCTTGGGCTACACTCAACTGTGGGAATCAGATTTTCAACTATTTCTCCCAGGCCATGAACTAGAATGTCGTTATATTTACAGGGGTCTGTGGAGGTACCCCAAACACGGCAGTGCAATTGTATATCAGAAACCACTATCATAAATGAGTTGGACAGGATAAGCCAACTTGAAAGAGAAAATAAAATATTATAACCCCAACTTGAAAAGAAAATATGGCGTGTGGTTTATTGAGGTGGGTTATGGGGGAAGAAAGAGCCGATTTTAAGTCAAACACAGAGAAGCAGTGGCACTCTTTAAATTCAATACAGTATTCACATGGCAGACACTGGACTTTAGAAGGCCAAACCTTTAGGCTCCTGCTCTGGTCTATAAAATAGATGTAAAATTGCCTTTGCTACATTATTAGTGCGCCATTCTAGAGGCAAGGAATGTTTAGGGAGCAAAATAACCTTGAAGCCAGCATGGCGCTTTCAAACCAGAGTCTGTTTGTGAGAATCTCACATTGCACTTTAAAGACATTTTAAAGTCTGTGGCTTTGGGAAATCCCACTCTGACGAGGTGAGAAGGAAGGAGGACTGGGGAAGAGCAGCAGCAGAGGAGCCAACTTTCATTGTCTTAGTGGGAATATGTTTTGCAGTTAGCAGCGATCTCAGTCTGCCCTTAAGCAGCACGATTTCCATATTTCTACATTGGCTTTTCAGAGTCCCTTTCATTCTTTTGAACTCCCCAGCCTTCAAGTTGTATAATAAAGAATTTGGAAGGTGCCCCTTTTGTGGCAGGAGGACTTGGGGACTCTTGACTAAATTACCCATTTCTTTTTCTATGAATCAACATGATTGCAGAGTATGGGTTCAGAATATGGGGGCGAGCACTCTCTGGGAGTCAGGAACCAAGGAGTTCCAATGAGATATGGGAAAAAGTAATTTCATGAAGCATTTTCAAATCAGCCTGAAATTTCAAAATTTCAAATTAGCCCGAAAACTCAGAGGAATCTGTGCCTTTACCTTAGAGATAGTAGGAGAGTCAGATCTTGAAGGATGTGTATAGTTTCATTCTTTTAAATGGGCCACAAGGCTTTCTGGCTTCTGGAAGCCTGAGTGTCTGTGTCTTGCATAGAGTATGCCATTTACATCTGGTTCAGACACAAAGGTATCAAAATGCCTCTCGTGACCAAGCCTGGAAGCAGAAACACCAGGGCTCGTATGGAATATGTTGTTCAGGCTTTTTCTAGTCTAGAAGCATTAGGGTGATCTATCCAACCGTGTCAGGGTTTACTAGGACTAAGACAGGAGGAAGTGGAGAGGTCTGATGTACCGAGAGGATGTAAAAAATGGATGGCCTCTGAGGACCTGACCAAGAGGGTGGTTGGCACAAATGTATGTGTTGGCTTTGCCCAGCCTGCACGGCCTCCTGTTGCTCCTTCTCATTTGCTGATGACTCTGGGAGACTGAATGAGATGCATTTCATGTGGTCCCATTCGGTTTCATATTTGAGGAAGCTCCCCGCTTCGGGTAAAAACCGAGCTGCTTTTTGTGCCATTTCTACAAACATTTCAGGCCATTAAATGAAAGATTTCTGGTGGCAGGAAAGGCACATATTATGTTACATGGGAAATGCAGCCAGTTATTTGCTTCCCTCAGGCTGAAGTTGATTGTCTGTTGGTAGTTTACTGGACGGAATCAATGAATGTAACCGTCTATCCATCACTCCATTCACCCACGCAGTGTTCTTTCAACAAGCAGTCCTGAAAGTGCCTCCTCTATGGCATCAACAATGGACATCACCGTCATTCAATTTCCCTTTTCGGTATCCATCTACACACCAAATTTATCACTAGTTTGGGGCAAGGACAGGGAGGAGAAGTGAGATCACAGTCACACACAGGGCAAACTTTGGTCGTCAGAAAAAAATGAGTCACACATCTGGGTGCCAGGCCCAAGCCCTATGTCAAGCTGAAATTTAAATCTCCAACTAAAAGGAAACGAAATAAAAACAACAGATGTTATTAATAGAGTGAGTTTTTGTTAATTTTCTAGAGTAACACAAAAGGAAATTGGCTAATATGAAAACAATTGATATTTATTTGTTTATTTCCAGATCACCAGATTGAAAATTGACCGAAACCCCTTTGCTAAAGGATTCAGAGATTCTGGAAGAAACAGGTAAGGACCCTGGGGCAACAGACTCACCGGCTTCTTTTCTTTTGGAAGTTATTGGTGGCCCTTGGCTCCCAATTCCTAGAGAATATTTGCATACTCGGCAACCACATAGACTCAGGGAAAGAGAAACTGACTTATTCAAGAATCCCCAAGTTCCCTCCCACAAAAGACACATCTTCTTTCTCACACAACTTAAATTACCGTAACAAATCCTTCATGCTTTTTTTTTTTACCCCCTACTTTATGCTGTGTGATTCAGTCCACGTAAAGCAAGACACATGATCACTTATTGTTAATGATTCATTGGTGTATTTTTCTGTTATCTGAAGGTGTCTGTATTGGCTGCAGTGCTGTCTCATATACTTTACATTTCTGAAAGATAAGATTTCAGAAAACTACTACCTTTATGAGTTGATCTTGGCAAAAACAAATGTAACCATTCTATTCCTAGGAAATAGTCCCTCAAGACATACACTTCTGACTTTATGAAAGGGAGTGTTTCTAGAATGTCACCTTTCTTTTTTCCTTTTGTAAAAATAACTTTTTCTAGTTTTTGAGATTATAATATAATTACATCATTTTGCCCCCATTCTTTTCCATCCTCCAAACCCTCTCATGTACTCTACCCTTGCTCTCTTTACAATTCATAGCCGCTTTTCTTTAATTGTTGTGTGTATGCTCTCTCTCTCTCTCTCTCTCTCTCTCTCTCTCTCTCTCTCTCTCGTGCACGCACGCGCGCGCACACACACACACAAGCACGCGTGTGGGTGCTTGTGTGTGTGTGTGTGTTTTGTATTCCTAAACATACAAATATAACCTTCTCAGTCTGTATAATGCTATGTGTATGGATGTTTTCATGGCTGACCATTTGCTATTGGATAACCAGTTGGTGTGCTCTCCTCTGCAGGCAGACTGTATCTCCCGCTCTCAGCACTCCTTAGTGGCTGTGGTTCTTGATTTAGGGCTGTGAGCTTTCCTTCTTCCACATTAGTGTGCCTATTTGCATTATCCTTGTCCGTGTCATGTTTAGGGAGCTATGTTGGTGAGGCTTCATGTGTGTAGCTTCTCTGATATCTCTAGGAGACACAATCTTACAGCAAACTGCCTGTTCTTCTAGCTCTTACAATCTTTCCAAACCCTTTTCAAACTGATCCCTGAGCCTTGGGTGTGGGAGTTGGGTTATAGATGTGCAGCTGGGACTTGGCTTCACAACTCTGGCTTTGGGTCAGTTGTGGTTTTCTGCAATAGTCTCCATCTGTTACAGCAAAGGGAAGTTTCAGTGATGAAGGGGAACGCCACCTTTCTTTATGACCTGTGCCATCAGTTCCAGGTGTTGCAGATGTTCACAGAATCATTTTGTCCCGTTGTCAAAAGCCTTAGAAACTGTACTGGTTCTCAGGCTGAGAATATTTTCTTCTCCCTAAATGATTTCCTGCAAAAAATGAAAATCTGTTGTCTATGGCAAGTTAGGAGACACCTGAGATGGCTAGTGGGACCAGACATATCCACAGTCTCCAATTAGGCAAATTCATCAGATACAGACACTACAGCCTGAGTGACTGTGATGCATCTGTCTGGTGTAGCACAGGCGTTGCAATGCCGTTGACTTCTTTAATAATCTGTAAGGACGGTTTTACATCTGGACAGCAGATTGCCAGGAATTATCTTTGGTATTCTCTCTGCAGCAGTTTTTGGATAAACCAACAATTTATATTTAGAAATATTCCATGAAATATGTGATGCATTATCTAATCAAGCACCACAGAACAGTGTTTTAGCATGAACAGACTCCATGTGTGATGGTGTCTACCTTAGAGTAAAGGTGTTTAGTGGACCTATCTCTAGATGTGTAGGGACCTTCTATAAGGTGTACACAATGAATAAATTGCAAAATGACATTCCTTAGACTGTGCCTTCACCAAGAAATACCTCATTATATCATAGACATATGTTTCAAACCACTTATGGTGATCATTTCTTTCACAAAATGCTTTATAAAAGCACTTTTAAAAACACTAAACTCTTGCTTTATGTTCAGCATACATTTATGTTCCTAAATTTATTTAAAGTCCATAAGGTTATATCAATTGAGTAATAGAAAATTCAGTCAATCATGCAGTTTTTAGATAGCACCATTAAGTAAGTGTTCTAGGTGACAGTTTAATGGGAAAGCACTCTAGAACTCAGTGAGTGAATGACTCTTGGACAAACGTTTTTCTATTCCACAAAAGCCTTTGTCTTCAAAGCCTACTCAATAAAAAACAAACACACATCCATTCTATCTCAGATGTCCCCTACCATTAACTTATAGTCCAGGTCACAAAAGCGTCTTTCTTTCTTCATTTCGAAGACTCTGCACTCTGAGCTTCTTGAAGACCTACTTAGTGATAATGTGTTAAAAAGTCCTGGGACACTCATGATAGGTAGGCCATGTATGGTAAGGGTATGCAAAACCTGTAGCTTGGAGCCAATGGATGGCTTTTCAGGGTTCTGTGGGCTCCTATATGTAAGTGTGACTATATACATGAGCAGCTGTACAGTTTTTTAAAAAATAAGCCTGTAGTGTTCTTTATAATTTTAGAAAGGTCTTATATCCCAAAGTAAGACTTTCTCTTCTATACCCAAATATATGTCTCCCAGGCCAAACTCGTCCATGTTATTTATTCAGCTACACTTTCTTTTGGGGGGATTGTCTCTAGTAGTATTTAGTAATTGTTTATTTTCTTATAGATGCCTAGTGTAATGCTCTCCTTTTCCGTCTCTTGTCTTCCGTTGGAGCCCTTGCAATCTGGAGTATTTGGCTAAATTACTTTTTTGTTTTTGTTTTTTTTAAATTACTTCTCTAAAGTCTTTTAATTCCTTAGCTAGAGCTTCCTGTTCATAGGCTCCTTACTCTTGGAAGCTACAGTAGAAGGTATACACCCTTGGAAATTACCATACAGAATGTTCACACCCATTTTACATAGAAAGCAAGAAAAAGTATGTTAATTTTTGGCAAGAAAAAATCCAGTCAGGAGGTTGAGTGGGAGTCGAAACTGTTTCTATAGGGTGATTGAGGTTAGTGTTGATGATAAATGTTATGAATCAGGTGTGTGTGTAAGGGAGGGTTGAAGAAAGTGGATGTAAAGATAAATATGTTTGCTATGTTTGAATATCGAGGAGGCCCTGTGGCTACGGAGTGAGGCTCTGTTTGTAACCATGTCTCAGCAGCATGGTATGGGAGGTACCTAGGTATGATGAAATAGCTTGTGTTGACAAACATTGACCCTATGCTCCAGGAGCTGAAGCCCACTTTCTCCTTGAGACTGGCCAGAATGTTTTGAGTACCTCTTAGCTGAAGTCCTGAGGGGAGATCCCCTGGGAGGCTGCAAATGTTGTGCTGCTTAAGGAACATGCTTATTTTTCTGTCCTGCTTGATGGGTTCCTGATCTGTAAGACTCCTTGAAAGTGGAACTATGGGTAAATAGGACAGACGACTAGCACAACAGTGCAATGCATCTCCGAAGTCAGGCATTAGCTCATTCCAGTGCTTCATTTATTTCTTGGAGTGTGAAAATTCTTCTTCTTCTTCTTTTTTAATGTCATACAAAGCCTGCAAAGCAGATTAAAAAAAAGAATGGAGTCCTGTCATGTGTGAATCAACAGGACTGAAGGACAGTAAGTGAAACAAACTACCACAAAGAGCCAAGTGGCACATGACATATACAGAACTTAAGTAGTTGATTTTAAGTAGAGCTAACAAGTAGAACAGTTGCTGTTGGAAGTTAGAGGGAGAGAGTAAGGAGGGACAGGAGAGAGCAGGATGGCAAATATCAAAATGTAGTTACTCAAGAGAGTAAGTTCTAATATGCCACCGCAATTTAGGATAGCTGAAGCTCACAGTTTATCTATCATGTATTTTATAAAGATTTAGCAGAGTTCAAAACTTCCTGACCCGATGAAATGAAGTGTGTAAGGTGGAGGAAATGTTACCCTGATTTGACTATTACATATTGTGCACACATGCTGAGTTATCTTACTGCAGCACATAAACAGTTCTATACTACAGGTCAATTAAAAAACTTAGCTGCCCCCCCTCCCCCCCGAGGTTACTTTAAGGCCCATTCGTAACTGCTTCTGTTAACTGCAAATGAACATTTAGCATTTGGGGGTGCTTATTCTTCATTTTTCTCTAATTTGAAAAACCTGCATCTTGAAAGAGTTTGAGCCGTGCTAGAGTTAAGCAGCTTTCCCACCATCCCAGAGCAAAGCTGAAGTGCTGCTGGATAACCGTGTCTGCCTGACTCCAGAGCTGAATCTCCCATGCTGTCACACTGGCACCTTATCCTCGGTGTGACCCACTTTCAACAGATACTGAGAACAGGATCCTCCCTCTGAAAACACTATCTAACCACCCACAACTGTTTCGGTCTCAAGTAAAGCCTCCTGTGCGCTCAGCCTGTGTTTGTAGACTACTGATCAGAGCTTCCCCATCTACTTTGTACCCCCTAAACAAGGATCTCCTATCTGGGGACGGAAAATCCAGCTGAACCATTCTATTAGGTGAAGTATGGATGCCCTCTCGGTGTCTTACCATGGTGCAAGAATGTTCGGCTTCTTCCTCCAGCACTCTGCGAAACTGCATTACAGTGGACTTGTTTAAGGCAATTATAAAAGTTTTGAATGTTTTTTTTCCCCTTTCAAAAATTCAAAATTACCTAGTTATATCATTAGCTGTCTAGTGATCTAATTCTCACTAGCTGGTTGCAGGATCTCATGTAGGCAAGGACTTTTAATGTCATGTAAATGGAAAAGATGCATGGGTAAGAATATGGAGTATCATTTGCAAATCTGGGACCCAGTGGTTCTGAACTAACATCAGGACCAATGTCCCATCTTCTGTCCAGTATTTCACTGTGGCCTTTCTCGTGCTAACACAGTTCCTCTCAACCCCTGCTTCTCGCCATGCATTCTAGACATCAAATGACTCATGCGGAGGAGCATGGCTTGATGAGTTGCATATA